AATGTGAATAATTTGAATTTCTTCAGAATAAAACATATAAGGCTGGGTGGTGGTGGCGCATGCCTTTAATCCCAGCACTTGGGAGGCAGAGGTAGGCAGATCTCTGTGATTTCAAGGCCAGCCTGGGCTACCAAGTGTGTTCCAGGAAAGGTGCAAAGCTACAAAGAGAAACCCTGTCTCGAAAAACAAAAACAAAACAAAAAAAAACATATAGGAAAAGAACACATGACAAATTAGAGAATTGTCTCAAGGGCTTCAAAAACAAAACTCTATATTGACACAAATTTGTTGTAATGATTGTCAAATTTAAAAATGTTTAATATTTACATGTACAACTCTAGAAATGGTTCATCAACATATGTAACTGACAGCAGAAATAAGTTTTTTGGAATAATCTCATGGTCAAATTAATAAAATATGTGAATGATCCAAGTGGAAAATTCTTAAATTAGCATTCATCAGCAAATGAAATCAATAACACAAAAGTAATAGTGAATGTAAGAGGAGAACTCAAAATGCAGGCTATTTTCCAACATGAATACATGGATGGATCTGTTTTACAAGTCACTAGAGCACTGGCATACATCACATTAACCTAATTTCACTCTGTCATTGCCTTTTCATTAATACATCTCCATTCTTAAGAGGGCATGAAACTTCAGTGCAATAGAAAGGATGTCCTTTGAAAACTTATAAGGATGTTCTCTTATATTCCAAATGCATTTACATTCATAATATCCATGGTGTTCTATAAGTTTCTTCATTCTATGAAGGAACCTGAATGAGCTAAAATTCTTAAATTCTTGTAGCCTTGAACCACTTCATCAGTGATACTATTTTCATAACTCTGTATAATAGTATCTATGAATTGCATAGATACAGAACTACTCATGGGTTCTTCTGTCTTTATGGAACAGTGTTTGAACACTCTGTTCCTGATATTTTATCAATTTACTCTTGGATTATGATCTATGCTTATGTATTTTTCTGCTATATTTTCAGTGTGTTAATTACATCCATATTTCTATAAACTTTTTTATTTGATATATATTTAATTCTCTTTCTATTCATATTACCATTCACACTCCCTATATAATACATTCTTATTATGATTTTGCACTACTCCAACTCTTCTCAGATTCTCCCCAAATCCATGTGCACTCAATTCCACACCCTGTCTCTTTCTCTTTCATTAATAAGAAAAAATCACGACAAACCAAACAAGACAATAATTAAATAAACTCAATCTCTCACACATGCACACACAAACCACAAAAGCACAAAACACAAAGTTGTAAATCAAAGTATAAAGGAAAGTCCAACAAGACCAGAAGAAAATATAAAGAAAAATAACAGCTCAGAACCTTACCATCTGTGCTCAGCTCCATATTCTGGCCCACAACTCTGGCAGCTTTCATGGAGTCCAGGTTTGTACTAGGGACCCCAGCATTTAAAAACCTCCAGGTTACACTATCTTCCCTGTGCTCCATATTCCAGCCCACAGCTTCAGCAGAAGACTTCTGCTTTACCAAATGTAAGGTTTGTTCTAGGAACCTTAGCATCCCCTTCGCTCAGATCCATATTCCAGCAAACAGATTTGGTAGGTCTTAGGGACACCAGGAAACTCTACCCACTGCTGGCTAACACTCCTTAAAGCCTGCCCTACAGCCCCAGAATATACTCCCTTCCCGTGGATCCATATTCCATCTCACACCTTAGGCAGAAGAATTCTCTTTTCTCCAGACCAGGCTGGTTCTAGAGACCCAGAGTAAGACACTGCCCACTGCTATCCAACAATACCAAAGCTGGCCCAAGAGCCCCCAACTGCACACCACCTGCACTCCGCATCCCAGCCCACAACTTCTGCAGAAAAATTCTGCTTTACTGGAGCCTATGCTGTGCTAAGAATCCCAGACAACAAGCAGATACCCAGAACACAAGAGGCCACACAGGTTACTGGAACCACAGTGGCCAGGGTGGCATCCAAATTCCTGAGGTCTTGCAGGCCACAAAACTCCACTGGAAACACCCTACTGGACCTATAATCTGCCTAGTCACAAGAATCTCTGTCCATTTAGGCCAGAAGACCAAAGAGGAACCAGAAACCAAGAAACAAAACACCCATTCAACAAATACAAAGTCAGGAATTAACATCTAGACTTATAACCAATGCACACCTAGATGCCTAATTGCTAGTATAAGAATACAATCAACAACAGAAAGGGCAATAAGGCACCACCAGATCCCAGCTACCTTATAACAGAAAGAAATGAACATTCCAAAGGTGCTGAAACACAAGAAAGCAACTTTAAAAACAACTTTCTGAAGATGATAGAGGAAAGAGGGAATTACAAAATCCCTTGAGAAAACTGAGGAAAAGGCAATCAAAAATTGGAGGAAATAGATAAATTCCTTAAAGAATGCCAAGGAATCCAGGAAAATACAAACAAACAGGTGAAGGAAACTGTTCAAGACCTGAAAATGGAAAGAGAAGCAATAAGAAAACAGAGATAGAGTACATTCTGGACATGGAAAATCTGGGGAAGTGAACAGAAACTACAGATGCAAGCATCACCAACAGAATTCAAGAGATGGAAGACAGAATTTCATATGTTGAAGATACAATACAAGAAATATATTCTTTGGTCAAAGAAAATATTAAATCTAAAAAATTCCTAACACGAAACATCGAGGAAATTTGGGAATCTATGAAAAGACCAAGCTAAGAATAATAAGAACAGAAGAATACCAGCTTAAATGGTCAGAAAATAAATTCAATAAATTCATAGAAGAAAATTGTCCTAACCTAAAGAAGGACATGCCTATACAGATACAAGAAGCTTACAGAACACCAAAGAGACTGGAACAGAAAAAAGTCTCCATGCTACATAATAATTGAAACACTGAACATACAGAACAATGTTCTAATACAACTATTAGAAATCCAAAAAGGTAACATATAAAGGCAGACCTATTAGAATACACCCAACTTCTTAATGGAGACTATAAAAGTCAGAAGGATCAGGAGAGATGTTATCTAGACTCTAAGAGAATGATGACACAAGCCAAGATTACTATATTCAGCAAAAAGCTCAATCACCATAGATGGACAAAATCAGATATTTCATGACAAATCAAATTATATAATATCTACGCACAAACTCAGCACTAGAGAAGGTACAGGAAGCAAAACTCAAACCAAAACTCCAAGGAGGTTAACTATACCCACTAAAATATAGAAATAGATAATCTCATACCAACAAAAACCAAAGAATGGAAACACACACACACACACACACACACACACACTAACATCATCAACAATGAAATAACAGGAATTAACAATCATTGGTCATTATTAATGGACTCAATTCCCCAATAAAAAGACAATAGGTAAGAGAATGGATATGAAAACAGGATCCATCCTTTAGCTGTATACAAGAAATGCACATCAACACCAAATATAGACATTAGTTCTGAGTAAAGGGTTGAGAAAAGGTGCCTACATAAAAAGTGCAGAGATCTCAACCCTAAGGAAATAGAAATGGCCATTAAAAGTCTCCAAACCAAGAAAAACCAAGGACCAAATGTTTTCTGTACAGAATTCTACCTGATTTTCAAAGAAGAGCAAATACCAATACTCTTCAAATTGTTTCACACAATGGAAACAGGAGGAACATTACCAAATTCTTTTTCTGAGGCTACTGCTACCCTGATACCCAAATCACACATGATGCAACAAAGAATGTGAATTACAGACCAATCTCCCTCATGAACATTGTTGCAAAAATAATGAATAAAATACTGGTGAACTGAAATCGTAACATATCAAAAAAAAATAAAATTATTTACCATGACCATGTAGGCTTCATCGCAGGGATATAAGGATGGTTCAACATACAAAACTCTGTCAATGTAATATACCACATAAACAAAATGAAAGAAAAAAAACTACATGATCATCTCATTAGATGCTGAAAATGACTGAAAAAATCCAACACTCCTTCCTAATAAAGGTTCTAGAAAGATCAGGAATACAAGGAACATACCTAAATATGATAAAGGCAATTTACAGAAAGCCAACCGCCAAAATCAAATTAAATGGAGAGAAACTCAAAGCGATTCCACTAAAATCAGGAACAACACTAGGCTTTCAGCTCTCCCCATACTTATTTAACACAGTACTTCAAATTCTAGTTAGAGCAATAAGACAACAAAAGATCAAGGGGATACAAATTGGAAAG